GAAATTTATCCGACCAAAATTTTGAAAAATTAGTTTTTCTTAAAGGAAATAAATTGTATTCATTACAATAGAAAACGATTATTAATACATTATTAAAATGTTCAATAATTTTATTTTGTTTATTTTACAATTGTATGTTTTACTTTCTATGTTGCATGCACCTATTTTAAACTGACTACTGATTTTATGACTGTTACTATTATAAACAATTGGCTAATGTGTTAATTATAATAAATAAATAAATAAATCATTAAAGCATATTCTACTTATAAATATAACTTTTTAACTTTAAATGTAACTTAGTTACATAACTGTAACTTGTATCCAGTTACACAACATAAAAGTATTTAGTATCTTGTAATTAGTTACACAGTTTTAGAGTAACTTGTATCTTATAACCAGGTACAATAAATTGGGTAACTTGCCCAACCCTGATCATAGGAAAAATATAATATGAAAATAATCTGCAAATTTTAAATTGTTAAAAATATATAAATACCCAATTCATCAATTATTTCATATTTTTACCTCTTAGAAGATACATTAGTTGTGCTCAGAGTTTTACCAGTGCTGCTGTAAATTATTAAAATATATTTTATTTGTATTAAATATTACATTTATTTATGTTAATTATATTACTTTTCTGTCCCTAATAAGTTGTTGAGGTTAAATGTTTGGACAGTTTCTGGCCATAATATTTGCTTATTTGCTGAGCCATATCTATAATCACTAATTATGAAATGATTACTACAAATTCTGGGCCAGTTGGAAATTGGATAATCATCTAATTTGATGCTTTTTAGCCATTCCTTCCTTCTATTTTAATTTTTTTTGAAAATCTACATAATTTATTAATAATACATTTTACATATTATAAAAAAATATTATCATTGTAACTATAAAAAAAATACTTGCAAATGAAATATTGGGTGTGGTGATACTTTAGATGTCTTACCACACAGAATACACTTATGCATGATAATTTTGTATTCAAATTTAGTGTAGATCTTGCATAGTGTAAGAAAAAATGTACTTGGCAATAATGAAAATTGCAACCTTGGTGGGTACTTTCAGGAATTTAATGCAATACTATTAATCCAGCTAATCTTATAATCAGTTTTAATTGCTGATTTATCATATTGTAGGGTTGACAATGACATGACAATCGTATTGAAATAGCTCCTTGTAAATAATTTCGGTTTTACCAGTTAATAATGTATAAACAGTTGGGAAACTCTCTCAACATTAAGGAAATATTAAATTAGTCAACTAAATAACCTATTTTCAGATTTTCAGTATACAAGACTTGATGGTGATATTACTAGTTAGTACTTACAACATTATAATATATTACATGAAATGTAAAAAATTGATGACAATCCTCATCAATCTTTTTTGAAACCATCTTAAAAGTATCATCACAACACTGAGTATTCTTATCTATAAACAAAAAACAAAAAAAAGCTAATTACACTAAATACATAAAGTATTTTAAAACCATTCTCAACATGTCAACTCACATTTTTGTTCTTCATTTATGACGTGCTGAATATATTTAATATTGCAAAATAATATAATGACAATTGTGCCATCAACCATYAGTAGTCCTTGATAGAATCTAAAAACAGAATATTAAATTAATTTAATAATAATCAGATAAAAATAAAGTGCATGATTACTAAAAAACCTACAAACCTTCCAGTTTTGAAATTTCATAATGAAATATTTATTATTTTCTAATTATAAAAATCATTTAAATCATGCAAATTCTTAGATGTTGGTGCAATAACAGATTTTACGAATCTTTTTCAATATTTCCGCAGCTGCTATAAAAGTATAATTAGTAGCACCTTTTGATTGACTAATATAATAATATAATATATTAACTGGTTCATAAGATTTATCTCTTATTAAAATATTTACACTAAATAGTAATTACCTAACATTACTTTTGACATATTAAGWGCAAGCTGAATATAAGCGGGTAGAGTGTTGTAAGACTTTGTAACCAAGTACATTCCTTCGTTTTCTAACTTTAATGTCTGATAGTTTTACTAAATGATTATGTAATCTTTTAATTGAAAACACACTATCCATTATAATTGTTGAAATAGAAGTAATAGCTGAGCATCGTTTAGTTGAAATTTCACTACATTAAAGGATCTTGCTCATTTTGTATACATAAAATAAAATAACAAAACAGAAATAACTTACACTTTTTTTTTGTCCATTTGTTTCTAAAATAAACAAACCCCAAATTATCCATGATAACTTCTGATGTATACCTGGAATTAACTGGTAAGAATTAGGCCGATCCCCAATTGGCCAAAACTGAAWATTATATGTAGGAGAATAATGGGGTTACACTAATACCACGACAATCTGTTACTCCGATATTATACTACTCCGATTAATAAATGAAGATKGACACCTATGCAACTGCTACGACAATCGTTGCTCCGATTATCAATAACAACGATATTCTATGATATAACTCTGATATATTTTGTACTATAACCACGGTTCTGTAGAGATTTGTAGAGTGTATGGGCTATATTATCATTT